CAAGGAAAATGTTGGCTATCAAACATAGCCTTAGTGAATTCTTATTTCAATAGTAGGGAAAATGCTTGATGCACCTTTATGAAAAGATATGATCTTTTGGGATGAGTGCGAGATATCATACTAAATATTTGGAATGAGAAGGTTGAAGTCGCGATTGCTCTACGACTTGGTGAGTGGAAAAACTTAAATATTTTTCAAGTATTGTCAAATTAATTATACTATTATATATTTTATGCAATTATGTGAATTATTTGTCTAATTACATGATTCATGTGGAAATATTCTTTCATTATGTTATATGTGGAATTTTAAAGATTGTGTATGGATTATTTGTGAATTGGAATGTGAGACATGTGATATCGAGATCGACCAAAAAAGTACCTATGATTATATGCTTATTCTAGTTCACTGAGGGGCCTTAGCTGTGGATAAAGGGGTCTAATCGTGTACATATAGTTCACTTATGGGTTTGGCCTTGTTCTAGGATTGATTATGAGAGGTCTTTGAGACCCACTTTCGTTCACGGAGGGGCCAAAGGCCCGTGGTGAAAGTGTTTAGCCTGAGGGGTGGATTACAGATTTCTATCAGAGGGTACATTTCTGGTGGATTACATGTGATATGCTAAGATGATGATATGGATTTGAAATGATGATTATATCAAGTTATGAGATGTCTCGCGTCTTGATTAATGTTGTTATTATACGTTATTATAATGTGAACTGTTAAATGATTTCCACTTGATTTTCAATAAAAATGTATAAATGAGGAAATATAATTATTTTAACATTTTCACTCACTGAGCTATTAGCTCATATATTTTTCTACAATTTTTCGTACAGGTAGTATTGGTTTTTGATAGCTTGAGGAACCTAATGATTTCAGAGTTATAGCCACACGATCTGAAGCATTTTGGTAGAGCACTAAATAATTATTTTGCGCCCATAGCACTATATTTTTCATAAATATACGATTCTTGTGCATATTTTGTAGTAACACATAGTCAGCCTTAGTGGTGGATCTGGCATCTAGTCAGCATCTACCATTGGCGCACGTCACGTTT